AATCCAAAGAGACAATGTTAAAAAAAAGAAAAAGAAAAAAATACTGCTAAGTGTGGCACTCACAGAAAGCAACTAATTCAAACTACAGTTTCATAAGAAACCAAGGAAAACTGAAAACAAAATGACTTTATATTGGGAGGAAATTTATACTTCCTTATGTAGATGAATCAATGATGATGTATACAAAAAAAAAACAAGAACAAAAGCGTCTATAATAATCATAGTAACTCTAGGAGTCTAAGATGCTGTGAAAGAAAAAATAGATAATCGTGATATACTAGACCCTCGGCAGTGACACATATTTGCATATTAAAAATATAGATTAAATCGGCAGTGACAAATATTTGCATATTAAAAATATACAGATTAAACAAGTATGTTAAACCCATAATGAAAGGACAGGGGAAAAACACATAATACTATGGGGATAAAGGGTTAACAGTGTCACCCATGTTTTCTTCTTTCTAAAAGGAAGTGTATATAAATTTCATGTATATGTGTGTTATGACTTGTTAAATCCAACTTTTTGAAACACGTGTTTGTTTTATTTTATAAAATGAAAAACTAAACAGTAAAAATCAATTCATTATAATTTCAGTTATGAGTTTAATAAAATTTTTTCATTCAAAAATAAAGGCTTCAATTTCCGATTTAAAAAAAATGTGTAAGGAAAAGTAAATTCAGGACAGTACTACTCTTTTTTTCTTTCCTTTTATATATACCTAATTTTGAAACTTTACAATAGTTTAGGTAACATAGTTAAAATAATGTTAACATTTATGGTATTGACACCTGCAGATATCAAAGTCCACCACACTCAATGAATGGAGACTACAAAAAGAGTAAACATAAACAGGTAGGTGTCCAGGAAGAGAAAGCAGCCAGCCAACAGGCATGTGGAAAATTATTCCTGTCACTTGTTTGTTCTCAGCAAAATTCAAATCCAAAAGGCAATGAGATATCATCTCACACCAGAGCCAATGTGTCAGAAAGACTGAAAACAACCAATATTGGTAGAGAACAGCAAAAAGGGACTCTCGTTATTGTTGGAAAGAAGTCATCCAGAACCAAAGTCTATGGAGACATCTCAACTAAAGTAAGTGACCCACTGATTCCATTTCCTGGTATCCCAAGAACACAAAAACTCACTCAAAAAGATATACACACACCTGTCTATCACTGTAGTGTTAAGTACAAATGTCCAACGATAGGTAAATGGATAAAGAAGTTGTGCTCTATATATACAGGAATATATAAAAGAGAAGATTAAATCTTGCAGTTTGTTGGAAGTAGGATAGAGCTGGAGGGCATCGGTTTAATGAAGTCAGAGAAAGAAGACCAAATACAGGATGATCTTACTTAAGTTTGGTACATAAAGAAACAAAGCAAGGAAACAGTGTACCAAGTGATGACAAACCCTTGGTATTTAATTGCAGAACTGAGATGGTTACTAAGCGGTGGGGAGTAGGGAAGAAGAGGCTGACATAAGCAGTAACTGACTGGCACATTTGTGGCAGTAAAGATCAATGTCACTCTAACTGTCCTCCCGTTGTTCATCGATTTGCTCGAGCGGGCACCAGTAACATCTCACAACAAATTGTGAGACTTGTTGTTACTGTGTTTGGCATATCAAATACGTCACGGGTAGCTTGTCAGGCTTTGCCATGCAGCGAGATATTCTCGGTAGCTTGCCGGCTCTCCGAGATGGGTGGAGGAATCGAAACTGGGTCAGCCAGGTCGGCTACGTGCAAGGCAAATGCCTACCCGCTGTGCTATCGTTCCAGCCCAGCAGTAAAGATACAGTAATTATACACATCAATATCAAAAACATCTTATAATAGGCTGGAGCAATAGTACAGCGGGTAGGGCATTTGCCTTGCACACAACCGACCTGGGTTTGATTCCCAGCATCCCATATGGTCCCCCGAGCACCGCCGGGAGTAATTCTTGAGTGCAGAGCCAGGAATAACCCTTGAGCATCGCAGGGTATGACCCAAAAAGCAAAAAAAAAAAAAAAAAAAAAAAAAAAAAACCCTTATAAAAATTGCATTATAATTTTTCTTTTCCCAATTTCTTCCTAAAGCTAACAGAACAGTTAACTTTTGTTTCAGTAGATAAATTATTTACTATCAAAAGAAAATAAATTAGTCCCAAAATTTTACCTAAAAATTACATATAAAAAAGTATTTCTACACTATAAATGAATAGATCAGTTCAAAATAGGTCACTTTTCATATTTTTATTTTAATTATGTATCTTGATAACTATAATTAAAATGCTAATAAAGAGTGATCACCATTTCTTCTCTCTTTGAAGGCACATTTCTCCTATAACCATTCCATCCTTTTGTAGTCTATGTAGTCAACTTTCCATAACCAAATGATTCCAATGTTCATTTTCAATCTAAATTTGAAAACATTTGTTTTTAAGAAGTAGAATTTTATCTAAGAACATTTTTATGGTCACTATCCTAATCTAAGGCATAAGAATTTTTAGGAAATTGTATTTTTTCCATATACCAGTATTTAGTTAATAGTTTGGCAACATGTCAGTATTCAAAAAATCTAAAAAGGAAAAGCAAAATAAAAGAAGCAAAAATCCTAGGTTACCACAAATAAAATACCCAGAGAAGAGAAAAATCACTGAGGCCACTGAGACTAGTTCCTTACTGTTACTCATTTCCCCAGAGTTCTTGAAGCTTCTGAAAGGGAGAAGTGACACAGATATATGTAAGCCTTAAAAGTCTGTGCAACTCCTTCCAGAGTGTGAAAGTCAACGTGTACTGACTGCTTTTTGCAGCAAATGCTATGTCTCTGAGAGCTTACAAAGACCACTTTGAGATATTACAAATTTTGAAGTAGTAACACTTTTCATAACCTAGTGTACTTATGTTGTAGGAGAGCACATTTCTGGTGATCACACAGCTAAAATAAACGGTCTTCTTCAGTTCAGTTAATGAAGCTATGAACTTAAGAAGAAACCGGGCAGAAAATGGTAGGGACAACTTATTTCAATAAATGGCAGAAGGTAAAGCATGTAAAATGACAGCACAGGGAAACACTACCTATTCTAGAAAACCAAATCCTTACCCTAAAAAGCTGTAGCGATGCCTCAACAAAATACATGCAACAGAAATCCTGAACACTTATTTCTTACTTGGGCTTTATAATCAGAAGCTTTTCTTTGGCTGTTGTCCTGCGTAAAATTTTTGAGTGGCAATAGCAACTGTGTGGTTCACCTGTGAAACAAGCCTCAAATCCTCTTACCAACACTGCACCACCCTGAGGAGGGCATCCATTAACCTTTTTCTTTGGTTTTTAAACTTCAGAAAAATGGAAGAATATTTAGTCTGTGTCTGGCTTCTTTGATTTAGCAATGTGAACGATTCTTTTGCTGCCCTTGTAGATCGCTCATTCATACAGGTGTATCGATATAAATATGTCATATTAATTCATTCTGTGAGTAGACACTTGAAGTGTCTTCGGTTTCAACTCATGAACAAGGCTGTGCATGATTAAGGACAAAAGAAGAGGGGCTGGAGCTATATAGCACAGCAGGTAGGGTGTTTGCTTTGCATGCAGCCAACCCAGGTTCGATTCCCAGCATCCCATATGGTCTCCTGAGCACTGCCAGGAGTAATCACTGTGCATTGTCGGGTGTGACCCAAGAAGCAAAAAAAAAAAAAAAAAAAAAGGAAGAAGGAAAAGGAACAGAGCCAATTTGGCTGGTATTTACCAAAAACTGGGGGTGAAACTATTTCGTGAAAGATGCTAACTGTGGGTGAAAATATTCCCTGGGAGATGCTGCAATAGTCTGGGGGTGGCTGAGAGGATGGGGGAAGGGGTAGAGTAGCCTTAAGTATATCTGGGGGTTCTTTGTATTTGTTCACTTAAAGAGAGTAGATTTCCAAGGGGCACTAAGTTTTTTTGTTTGTTTGTTTGATTTTTCTGAAGAGGATAGTAGTCCCAATAAATTCTCTGGCCTAAAATATGTAAAATAGAAATAACTACAATTTCTTCAAAGACAGTTCCTTTACTAAGATAGAAACTTTCATCCACTACAACCATATACATAAATCATTTTACTCCAAAAGCCATGCATTCAAATCCATTTATTCCAAAATAGGAACCTATTCTATTACCTTCAATAGAGTTAATCGGATACTTTCAAAATACTGCTAAAATATTTTAAAATAGTACTTAACTATCTAAATTCTGGACTGAAATTAAAAGCAATATCTGTAAGAAGAAAAGAATACACAAATCAGGGCAGGAAAGTATGATGAGTAAGGCACTTGCCTTGCACACAGCCAGCCCAAGTTCAATTCCTGGCACTGAACACTATGCCGAGCCCCAGTAAGAGGGATCCCTGAACAGAATAAGCAGTAAGCCCTGAACACAACAAAAAAAAGTACATAAAACAAAATGACTATGACAAATACAAGAACTGATATTGACAAATACAAGATCTGGGATTAATCTGATGTGGGGACTGAACCCAGCACCATTAATACTTTTTAAACATAGCTACAAGAGCATGTGTGTATCTGGAAAACCAGGGGTTTTTTTTTAAAGAGAAAATTCAATACAAAAATATCTTTAAAAGTTTTCTAAGTATTTAAAAAAAAAACAGACTAATGCTTACATGAGTATTTTTCAGTAGCCTTAAATACTAACAATGAAAAGAGATATTTTATTTATGTAAATCAGCATTTTTCTATTTGGCAAAAGATACAAATCAGTGATCCAATGGGGTGTGGGGTAAGAAAATGACATAAGGAAGATGAGAATGACTACAACTTAAATCAATCTATTCTATTTTCTGTAACTGATTTCTTACTTTAGCACACTCTTAAGAAAGAGTTGGAGTTTTGGTGGTTTTTTTTTTTTTGGTTGTTGTTGTTCTTGTTTCTTTTTCTTGGTGGGGGAGCAAGGAGAATGAAGATGCTGTTGTTCTTATATGTACTTTTTAATAATAGCGATGTTACTCATGTAACTTGCCTGAGTGAGAAATGAAAGGAACAGAACCAAAAGGATCTTCTGGAGGATGGTTATGTAGAGCAGAAAGTGGGTCTACATTCTTATCTGAGGATGCTCTCTCCTCCAGTCTGTCTGCAAAAATAAGATGAAACAAAACAAAAAATAAAATAAAAAGAAAATGGTTGAATTTTTTAAAAAATGATAAACAGCATAAATTAAAACAAAAATACACAAAACCACCACCTTGGTGAAAAAGAGTAGATTCAGAATTCATTTCTTTAAATATTAGGGAACATTCTTAGCTTAACACATATTTGCTGTAGAGGCAAACTAACAATATACACTCAGTACTAGGTTTTACTTATGACCATGAAGCTAATGAGAAACTTAGAGTGATTTCTTTAAATAATATTTGTCAACCTGAAACATACTGAATTTAAACCAGCTTAACAAACATGCTTATAGATTTTCTCCAAAAATACATGAGGAAAAAAGGTAGCAAATGGCCAGTTAATGTAAGTAAATAATATTTTATGAAAGTTGTAAAATAAAAGCTAAGCCTAAAAAAGTAACTGTAGTTTGCAGAGTTTTCAATAATTAAATTTATATTACCTCCTAATTATTAAACCACTTCTATGCACAGATATAAAGACATAAAAATTTTAGCAATAAATTAGGAGATTTAATGATAGATTATTTAGAAATTTAGCTCATCGAGAAATAGTTGAGCATGTAATATGCGTAGCTGCTTTACCAGGCATAAAGCATCAAACAAAATAAAGACTTTCGCCCTTGTAGTTTACATAATGGCATGGAAAAACGATGAATAACAACAAGAAATGTATATAGCATGTTAGAAAGGAAGTTAATGAGAAAAGAGCAATACAGGGGAAAAGGAGTTTGGGAGGGGCACAATTACAGTAATCAATCGCATGGTCCAAAATGTTCCCAGAGAGAAAGACTTGAAAGAGGCAGTAGAATAGCTAGCTGAGGAAGAACCAGGCCGGGGAGAGCAAGAGCAAAGACTCTCCCCATAAAGAGGAGGCTTGGTTTGTTTGAAGATCTAAAATGCATTTAATCCTGAACAGAAACTATTTTCTCCATGATCTTAAACTGCACATAACAGATGTTCTGTCAGTAAGTTCTTGATTTTTGTAAGATGCCTCTCTTATCCTCTGATTCTTAGCAATCTTAGCAAAAAGATTCTTATTCTTTAGGGTCCATTCTGCCTGCTTCCAGCTAGCTCAATAAATCAATAGTAAATTAATGATAGAACTTATAAAGTGCATAGAATAATCTGTACTGGAGCATACAATACAAAATACACACTAATATTTTTTTTTTCTAGTTTTTTGGTCTATACCCAGCTATGCTCCGAGTTAACTCCTGGCTCTGCTCTCAGGAATCACTCTTGGCAGTGCACGGAAGACCATACAGGATAGCAGGGATTGAACCCTGGTCAGCCACATGTAAAGTAAGACCTTACCTGATGTACTATCTCTCTGACCCCCACTAATTTTAAATATCAGTTACCCTTAGATAAAAATCAAATGGTACGTATAGCTTCTTTTCAAATATAACCTAAAGTTCCATTTTCAAATATAAGCCCTAACATATACTTAGCTCCATTTTCAAATAATTGGTTTTTCTTTAGAGCAAAACCTGAGCTGGACTTGTCCAATAAAGAAACTTACCTTGTCCTGCCTTCCCCCAAAACTGTATTGGTAAAATCAGACACTGTATATTCAAGAATTTTAGTTGATCCTGAATACAAGATCCGTATTATTCCATAATATCACAAATAATCTACTCAAAAATGAAAATTCAGCAACTTATATATAGATAATGACTTTAACAAAAGAACAAACTATCAATAAAGTGCAGTATGCATTGGATATTTTTGAAACTTGTTCTAATAAACCTGAAAAGTTGTTATTCTGTACTGAAAATTGGTTTGAATAGTCTAAAAGTGAGAATTAATGTTTTATAACAAACTATATGTAAAGACGTTTTACACCTATTGTACTGTTTTCAATAGTGTTAAAGAAAGCATGCAGTAGACATTGCAAAGCACACAGTCCTTAAAGTTTTCTATTTCTGCTTTCAGTTATTCTGACGCAATTTTAAACAGAAACACATCAAGAAAAAATGTTCAATTTAAGTATTATTTTTAATTATCATATACAGCTTTATTAGTATTTGAACAAATGTTAAGTTTAAAAATTTCCTGAAACAAATACCTGTACTCTCATTTGGTGTTAATAATACATTAAGTGTCTTAACAAATTTCTAAAAGTTTACATATTAACCTGGATGTTTTGGTATAAAAGACACTGAAAACTACAAATTTAAATTTTAAAAAATAACACTGAGACCAGCTATGTCTTTAACGATCATTTTGATTTAATATTTGGTCTTACAGGCGCAGGTGAAAAATTCCAACCCATGAATGGTATTTACACTCTAAACAAAGCACAAAAAAAAAACTAATTTTTTTTGTATGTTAACTGCCTTATCCACCTCATATTGGAATCAACTGTTCTCTTAAATATAAAAACTAATTTTTGTTTCTAGTTACAGTATTTTAGAATTTTAGTTGTTTTGGGGGGGCAGGGAGTGTTTTTTGTTTGGGGGTCAGCTGAGTTTTTGTTGGGGTTTTTTTGGTCTTGTTTCATTATCTGTCATTTTGGTTTCGGGCCACAACCATTAGTACTCAAGTTTTGATTCCCTGCCAGGAGTTCACACTCGGCAGTGCTCAGGGGGGCAGGCTTCCCTCATGCAGACTCTGTACTCGGCCCACGGAGCTCTTACCCTTGACTTCGACTTTGGTTTGGGGCACACTTGGTCATGCTCAGTGAGCATTCCTGGCAGAGCGGGAGGAAGTGCCCTCCCTGCTGTACTCCAGCCCTAGGCTTCTACGATCTTAAAATCCATTATAATTTAAATATAAACCCTGAATAACACATACAGATAAAATAGTCCTGTCTAACATATCTCTTTATCTTTTTTTAAAAAAATAGCCATGCCATTCTAAAATTAAAGCCTCAAGTAGCAATATATTAGTTTGATCATTACATGGGCAATGCCTACATTTTTAAGGATTATATACACAAGTGTTCATCTTCTCATTTGAAAAGTATTTCATACACCAAACACAATTATTTAAAAATGACTTTGGAAAAGTATTGATAAATATTCATGCTGAAACGTGAAATCAATATAATGTTGTAATGCTTGAATTTAATAAAGACAAGCTGAGCTGAAAAAAAAAAAGAGTAAATTTGGTATTTCAACACATCAACAATCCATTTTAAAATGTTAGGAAGAGCGGCCCAAACAGTAATAAGCACCAACGAATCAATTTTTCTTTATATTGCTAATGCTACTCTTCTACTAAAACTCTTACTCTTCTACTAAAACTCTTACTCTTCTACTAAAACTCTTACTCTTCTACTAAAACTCTTACCAAGAGTTTTAGTTCCACAGTGAACATTAAACCCTGTCAAATAAAATATAGGTATCTCACAGCTTGCTAAGTGAGAAGTGCTAAAAGTGACTAGTATTACAATTAAATGAAATTCTGGGAGGAAATTTTTATAAACTATATGCTGTATATCATTGATTCCTTTATTAATTTTATGAAGATATTCACCTTTGTTACTATGACTATCAATTACTCAAGGAACAAGATATTTTTTTCCATTTTCTTTATTGAGGTCATTTGTCACTTCTGCTCTAGACGTATTTAACCACAAATCCCTTCTAATTCAGTTAGTTGCCAACTGAAACATGATAGCTTAAGATATTTTAAATATAAAGGTCTATAAGCTCATAAGGTCTATAAGCTAAAAGTATTAGCCTCAAAACTTATTCAGAAGATCAGGGATTGGAAAACGGCATTTACTGTGTGACAAAACATTTAATTAAAGACGCTATTTCATTTAATCCTGCTAACAACACTACCAAGATATCATTATGTCAGCTGATAAAAGAGCAAATCAAATAGCGATTAAGGACTGCAAATTGTACTGAAATTAGAGGCTTTTTAAATGGCATTGTCAAAAATCAGAATTCATTCTTTGAAGTACAAAATACTGATTCTGAAGTACATCCTCATAGTGAGAATGAATCCAATAACCCAGGGACTGAGGGTTTTCCAGAAAAGCTTGTGAAACTCAAAGTCTGATGAGCAGATCAAGTTCCTCCTGCACTTTCATTTGGAACTATATATATATATATATACACTTTCCACAATTGTGACGGCAATGAATTATGAACTCTGACTTCTCTTTGGTGAACATATGCAAGCATAAATATATGTACACAAATTATACCAGTTATCAGACCTTGCGGGGTGAAAGCAAACTGGCTGGGGGGTTGACACGCAGGAGCAGGGAAGCGGCATCTTTACACACAGGGCCAGCTGAGGTCCCCTAGTGGGCGGTCCTCTGAACAAAACAGGGCTTACGTTCCCTTCACCCCTTAAAAAATTAATTTTACCTTACATATTAAATTCAATTTTTTCAGAATGTATAAATGAATCTGCATCTATCTTTCTCATCTATGTAAAATAAATAAAACTTGGGTATTAAATAGATTCTAAGGAACTTAGAATAATACATTTTTAAAAGTTAGGGTATAGTATTATTTCTAACTTTTACCTAAAGAAGTGGAAAACCCTGATTTATAACCCCTTAGTTACTACCCTGGTCAGAACACATTAATACTGATATTTTCTGTTCTGCTTTAAAAAAGTCCTATAAATTGTAATAATTTGCTTATAGCTACTGCCTTCCCTACCCTATCCCCAAAAGAAAGAAGTTAGTTTCTTTTTTAAACCCCTGCCTTTGTCACAACTCAAGGTAAGTTCTGGAAAATGTCAAATTAACAAACGGAAAAGAGGTCTTTTTTTTTTCCTTAAAAAAAAATTTTTTTTTCAAGACTTTTCTTGGGGGAAAGGGAGGGCCAAGGGGCAGTGCTCAGGGCTTACCCCTGACTCTGCACTCAGGGATCACTCCTGATAGGCTCAAGGGGCGATGTGGGATGCCAGGGATAGAACCCAAGTCGGCCGTGTACAATGGCCTTCCCGACCTGCTGTACTATGACTTGGCTCTGGTTTTTATTAAAGGCTCAGAATTCATTTTTAATCTGCTCTAAATCAATGTAACTTTTCATAATCTTAAAGTGAATAGATGAAATACGTATTTAAATACCAAACAATTATTCTTTACATAAACTCAGGATACTTATAAATTTAACAAAATATATACAAATTCAGAACAAAGCATTTCATCTGATATTCTCATGAGGTCAGTTACCAAAAATAAAACAGAAACTATAACTAGGGATTACTAAGAACTTTCTTTTCACTATGCAGAAGGGTAACACATACACACACACACACACACACACACACGCACACACACAGACACACACCCCATAAACACACATATACACATGCCTCAGAAAGCTGAAAATTTACCATACTCCAGTTTTTGTTCCTGTTTTGCTTTGTCCTATAAATATCCCACGTCTTTCAAAAAAAAATCTTTTCTAAAATATGTAAGGTGAGAGGTAGTTTAGAAGGCAATGATTCCAAGTAATAACATTGAGATATCTGATTTAACGTGGGAACGAATTTATTTAACTTTTAACATAACCGGACAACAAAGCAGCCCTCAATCATGAAAAGGGCATTACAAAACAGTAACATAATGTAGAAGCCCGAGTTTTCTATCAGGCACTTTCAAAGGGCATTTTAGACCCACAATATCTTCTGAGTGTGCAAGGAAACAGAGCTACAAAATGAGTAGTAAGGCAAGATATAAATGACTCTTTTTTTATTTGAACATTAATTTTTCATATTTGGAAGATTTAATTTCAGCATCCAACGATATGTAGATTTAAGTGTTAAGAAACAGCGTGTTGCCAGCAATCCTGGGTTTAATAGCTACTACCAAGCAACTGATTTCTAAGTGCACAGCATGGTTTGACACTATATGGAAAGGAAGATGGCCTGTTTTGTTCCCCTCAAATGCACAGAAAGAATTTTCTATTCACCACCTCAAGACAGTCTTTGGCCATGCTGAGTAATCAGAGTTGTTATTTTACTGTGAAGCAAAATAAGCCTTCAAGTGTCCCTTACTTGATCTTAGACGGTCAAATTCTCTGTCCAATAGTTCCTCTTCTGTTAACTTGGAGAAATTATCCTCGCCAAAAGGATTCCACCTTGACATATCAGGTGGATTACTGATATTCTTCTGATTTGTTATATTTGCAACTGTCTCTTTATCAGGAATTGATCTACAGTAATATATTAAGGAAGAAAAAGAGATAAAAATTAGAAGCTACGAAATCTAAGTGCCCCGGAGTTCACAATTTAAAAATGCTTAGACAGTGGCTCACTTATTATGGGAGAGATTGTGGGCAGACAGGGCATGAACTAAGCAGAACTTCCCCCAGCAACTTGAGACATCAATCTAATGTACGCAGTGTGGTTTGGTTTTCCGCTTCCCTGTCTTCCCACCCACCCTTTCCTCCTCCCTTTCTTTCTTCTTCCCTCTTTCCCCGTTTTCCCCCTCTTCACAAACAGGCTGAGCTAGGAGGGTTCTACTACAAACCGTATGAATTAACCAGCATGCCGAGACATTCAGTATACAAGGATATTAACTAATGTTGAAGTTTCTCATGCCTAATTGCTAGTCATCTGAGGGTATTTTCCCAGTTAATGTTTTATAACCTGGAAGCTCTACAAAATATCACTGAAGATACTTAACATCAATAAATTCATCTTAATGTAGATGATGTAACACGGTTACAATGTCAATGTTTATGGTTTTTATATTCATGAATGTTATCCTATTGTTTCTTCTAATTTTTTTTTCTGCAATGCCAGGTCTCAAAACATACAAGCAAGCACTTTTATCACTTTCACACTGGTCTGAGCTACAAACCCAGTCCTGGCTGATCAATTTCTTAAAATTAAGAAATTTTAAAGTATTTCCCATGTCAAACCTAAGTCTGATAGAATTTATGTTATAGTTCCTTAATATAATGTACTGTCTTTAGTATAAATATGCACATGCATGTTTTCAGTAATCCACAAAAGTTAACTCTACTAGCCAATGTATCTAGATTTATTGAGTTACTCCTGGTGTGGGGACCACTTGGCAGTGCTCAGGGAACCTAGAGGTTCCAGGGACTAAAGCCAGGAGACCTGCCTGCAAAACAGACACACTAGTCTTTTGTGTACGCTCCTATCAGACCCCAGACTAAATAATGTAACTTAATGATTAAAATAAAATATTTACTAGCTATGCTATTTCCAATAAGCTGCTGTATCTTTATTTTTCTCTGGGGGTGTTGGGACACACCTGGCAGTGTTAAAGGCTTACTCCTGGCTCTCTGCTCAAGAATCAGACTGTGCTCAGGGGACCATATAGGGTGACAGGGATCAAATCCAGGTCAGCTACATACAAGACAAGCACCCTACCCACTGAAATATAGGTCCAATCTATTACCTTTAAAAAAAACTAACACAAAAAGTACATTAAAGTTTTCGTATCTGTATAAACAATTAATCAATCTTTACTACAAAATGTTAACAAGTTAACTATAATAATACATAATTTTTAAAAGTAAACTAACTTGTCTATAATGTTCTTTTATTACTGAAGTAGTGTGATGAGGTTTTGTTTCTACTGAAATTATACTCTCGTGCAAAGGCTAAGTCAATGATCTTCTTAGCCTTTATTTATTTTTTTTAGTCTTACATACTGCTGTGTACTGCCAAGTCTATGTGCAAATAGCAATCAGAAAAACTGACTGAAATGAAAGCAAGAGTGGTGGCAGTCACGGGGAGCAGAAGAGACACTAGTAGTAGGTCGTGGAGAGATGGACTCTAAATTCATACAGAAGTTAACTTCCGACTCCATTTCATATTTGCCTCTACTTTCCAATAATTTCCTTTGCACTCACTAGAAAAATACTTGCCTGTTGGCACTATAAGAGGAGTCCAGTATGGTTCCCTGAGCTGGATGTGATGAAGAGTATGAAACTAAAGCTGGCGAGAACTCCTGAGGGGAGGTAAGATATTCAGGTGACGTCTGCTGCTGCTGCTGCTGCTGCTGCTGTTGCTGCTGCTGCTGCTGCTGCTGCTGCTGCTGCTGCGACTGCTGCTGGTGAGCTAGCAACTGCTGCTGCAGGAAAGCCTGCTGATACTGCTGCATCTGAAACAAGAGGTGCCAGGGTACGAATCAACGAGCAAAGTCACTAGAATTCTGTCAACATCACATCTCTCCCGTATTTCCTCCTTTTCAGATTGGCTACAGAATCAAAAACCACAAAAACAATTTCTATCTGAAGGGGCAGCTCACTACTAGATAACTAGAGAAGATGAAATAAATCTGAGACGGTGTGGAGTTAAGCACATCTGGCACCACTGGCTGTCCGAGAGGCTGGGTTGTGCTGTATCCCCTGGTGCTCAAGGCCTTCTCTTGGCTGTGCTCCAGGGTCACATGACGGTGCGCAGGAGACCACAGGTGGTGCTGGGGTGGGGCACATACCAGACAAGCACCTTAATTCCTGTGCTAGCTCTATGGCCCAAATCCTTTAAACAGTTTAAGAATAAAAATCAAAGGCATAGTCACTATATGTGGTGGTTATTAAAACACCCTAAGACGCATGCAGTTTTTCTTGTGAACTTTATTCTTTGATTTAATAGACTTGCTAAGTGAAAGAGAAATATAACAATTACTGATGATAGATCACTTCTGTTATACTACCAAAAGTAGCACTGCACTGTAGCACTGTCCTCCTGTTGTTCATTGATTTGCTGGAGCAGGCACCAGTAACGTCTCCATTGTGAGACTTGTTGTTACTGTTTTTGGCATATCGAATATACCACAGGGATCTTGCCAGGTTCTGCGTGCTGGCAGGATATTCTCGGTAGCTTGCCAGGCTCTCTGAGAGGGACAGAAGAATCAAACCCAGGTCGGCCGCATGCAAGGCAAATACCCTACCCGCTGTGCTATCGCTCCAGCCTTAAGAAAATATTTTCAGTTATGGTATGCATATTCAGGCAGTCCAGTTCAGCACAATTTAAAGTTGTGTGAAAACAGATGATGAGAAGCATTGATCAAATACATGTCAATTAATTAACTGGAGCACTGACACAGTGATCTAGAACGATATTACTCCTCCTTTTTCCTGATGATCTTCTCAACTCCCTTCCTTACCATGGTCTCCATGGAATATCCTGGTAGTCGCAGTGGGCCATATGAGCCCAGCAGAAGGGGGTTAGAGCAAGCACCTTACAGTTCACAGTTCAAATCCACCATGACCCACACACACCAAGTATAATCCTGATAGCTCTGCTGTGTGGGCCTGGAAGCTCAACGCCTGCATCTCTGGCACAACAAATGATTACCAGTCTCGCCGAAGTCAGGTGTGTGCTGTAAACAACACAACACACACGCACGCGCACATGCACACGCGCACACACACACACACTCCTGCAAACATGAAAAAAAATGCCACCAAAAACCAGAAAGCCTCAAGAAAGTACAACTAAGAAAATATGTGAGCACCACAACCATATATGTGTTCATCAACTACAAGAGTAACGCTCACATAGCAAGTACATATGGAGTAGTATCGTTCTAAATCACTGTGTCCGTGCTCCAATTAATTAATTGGCATGTATTTGGCAAGCTCAGGGAGTACTAAAGGCCAGGTTAAATTCTGTGCTGGAGTGATAGTACAGGGGTTGAGGTACTTGTCTTGCATGAGGTCAGCCCAGGCTCAATCCTTGGCACTGCATATGGTTTGGTTCTCCGAGCACTTTCAGGAGTACCCCTACCTGACAGCCAAAGTAGCCTAAGCACTGCCAGCCATGGCCAAAATATAAACATAATAGTAATAACACAAAATTAAAAAATTTCATCCATCCTGTGAATTCCCATTCTGTAATGGGACATCTCTGCAAATGATGGCACTTACCATTGTAGGATACTGTGCTGGAGAAGGCTGTGACTGATACCTTGAATGTATTAAAAACTGTTGTTGTAGTATCTGTTGCTGCTGAATTACATGTTGGTACTACAATGTGAAAAAAAAATCATTAACGTAACTTTTTGTATCAGTCATTCTTATAAAATATAACAATGTGAGAAAGCCAGTTTCACCCCTGGTCTGCGCAGGACGGGCACGGAGGCCCAGCTCTGGGCAACCTAGCGAACGGCTCCTATTGCAACCAGTTACAGCCCGCCCCCAAGGGCCTGGGACCCTCTGTGCGCATGCCCAGCTAGCTCCACCTCCTAGAAAGCTGGTTTCACCCCTGGTCTGCGCGGGACGGGCACGGAGGCCCAGCTCTGGGCAAACAAGTGAACGGCTCCTATTGCAACCAGGTACAGCCCACCCCCAAGGGCCTGGGACCCACTCTGCGCATGCACAGCTAGCTCCATCGACGTTCCCAACTCCTCGCTCAGTGCCAGGTACTCTTTCCGGAGCCGCCGCCGCTTCATATGCCATAGGAACCATAAGCTACCTTCTTCGATGGAAACTTCTCTAGTTTAACTCAGTCACTAGAAACACAGTAGCCAATAACTCATAAGCCTATCTTAACTCACACTGCATATCAAGCAGAATAGTAACAGTGAATGTTAAGAACTAAACCACAACAGCAGGTATGAGCCGGGGGCGTGGGGGCGACTAGAACCTCATGGGAAGGGGGGCGTTCCGGTCCGTCCTTCACGCCCTACCGAGGTCACCAGTCGCCCCCCACGAGCGGCTCCCCAGCACGGCCACAGTCCCAGAAGCACAAGGACTTAATGCAGAACCCGGCAGCTTGGAGCAGAAAAGTGAAAGGACTATGCGTTAATCCAGGCCATCAAGTCTGCCGGAGGGGAAAGGGTGTTGCCCCATTCGCCCTCTCTTCTCTGGAAAGAAGGATGGCAGCCGCATGGGAGCCTTGTGGACAGCAGGTATGAGCCGGGGGTGTGGGGGCGACTGGAACCTCATGGGAAGGGGGGCGTTCCGGTCCGTCCTTCACGCCCTACCGAGGTCACCAGTCGCCCCCAAGGAGCGGCTCTCCAGCACGGCCACAGCCCCAGAAGCACAAGGACTTAATGCAGAACCCAGCAGCTTGGAGCAGAAAAGTGAAAGGACTATGCGTTAATCCAGGCAATCATTTCTGCCCAGAGGGGAAAGGGTATTGCTCCCTTCCGCCCTCCTCCCTCTGGAAAGGAGGATGGCGGCCACATGGGAGCCTTGTGGACAGCAGGTATGAGCCGGGGGAGTGGGGGCGACTAAAACCTCATGGGTCGAGGGGCGTTCCGGTCCGTCCTTCACGCCCTACCGAGGTCACCAGTCGCCCCCCACGAGCGGCTCTCCAGCACGGCCATGGCCCCAGAAGCACAAGGACTTAATGCAGAACCCAGCAGCTTGGAGCAGAAAAGTGAACGGACTATGCGTTGATCCAGGCCATCAAGTCTGCCGGAGGGGAAAGGGTGTTGCCCCATTCGCCCTCTCCTCTCTGGAAAGAAAGATGGCGGCCACATGGTAGCCTTGTGGACAGCAGGTATGAGCCGGGAGTGTGGGGGCGACTGAAGCCTCATGGGAAGGGGGGCGTTTCACTCCGCCCTTCACGCCCTACCGAGGCCACCGGTTGCCCCCCGCGAGCGGCTCTCCAGCACGGCCATGACTCCAGAACACAGAAACCAATTTCTTAACTATCTGACTTTCAGTAGAAATACCTCCAGGGTCAATAGGTAAAATAGCAGAAATCCAAAAGCAACATTTAATTCTTGAACCCAGCTGTAGAAAGCAAATCACTTCACAATGCTTTTTCAGCATGTCTGATGGGGGGGGGGGTAAACTCTAAAAAATAGTGGTGAATCTTTTATTGAAACAATGAATCTAATCAAAGCAGATAGAGTGTTAACTAGAATTCATCTGCCTCACAGGGACGGGGAGGGGTGGGGGGTGGGGTTTTATTGGGGTTCTTCATGGTAAAAAATAAGTATTGGTAAAGGGAAATGTGTTTGATATTTGCATGACTGAGACATAAACCTGAAAGCTTTGTAACCTTTCCCACGGTGATTCAATAAATAAATTAAAAAAAAAAAGAACTAAACCACAGTTTTCACAATGGTAAAGCAACGCAAAAGCCCACCAAACTTTCTTATTGAAGAGTCTAGCCCAGATGACACCAACAGTACTGCAGTGTTAGACAACCTCTCTGACAAGGAATTCAGGAGGGAGCTACTTAGGATGCTTAGGGAACTAAAAGAAACAATGGAAAGCAATGCCAATAGAAGACAAGAGGATTTGAAGGCAGAAATGAGGAAAATGCAATCAGAAATGTCAGACCTGAAAAATCTCGTAGGCGAATTGAAAAACTCAGTGGAAGGCCTCAGCAGCAGAGTAACAGCTGCTGAGAACAGAATCAGTGAGCTCGAAGATGAAGTTCAGAGACTCTCCAGAAAAGAGCAGAAAATGGAAAAGAGACTCACAATTCGGGAACAGATGGCAAGAGAAGATCATGATGAAGCCAAGAGGGGTAACATAAGAATTATTGGAGTCCCAGAGGGACAGGAAGAAAACCTTGATGAAGAAGAAACTGTCAAAGACATCATTGCTACAACGTTTCCAGAGCTGAAGAAAACTTGTGACCATATTCAGGAGGCCTGAAGGGTACCAGCTAGAAGAAATCCGAATAAAAATACCCCAAGACACATTCTGATCAAAATGACCAAAACCTTAGACAGAGACAAAATTCTGAAAGCAGCAAGATCGAAGAAAGAAATCTCTTACAAAGGAGCATCCTTAAAATTCACAGCTGCCTGCAAGAAACACATCTCAATAGTCAAAGCAAACACAGACTCAGAGTCAAAGGCTGGAAAACAATCCTACAGGCAAACAGCTCCCATAAAAAAGCTGGGGTAGCCATCCTAATATCAGACCACATCGATTTCAGAGTGAGGAAGGTCATAAGAGATAGTGAAGGTCATTTCTTATTGATCAAAGGATCTGTACAACAGGAAGAACTTACAATAATAAATGTATATGCACCTAATGAGAAACCAGCAAAGTACTTAAAACAACTACTCATAGATTTGGAAAAAGACATCAACAGCAACACAATACTAGTGGGAGACTTCAACACTGCTTTGTCACCTCTTGATAGATCAACCAGACTCAAGCTTAGCAAGGACATACTTCATCTGAGGGAAACAATGGAAGAAAGGGACTTAGTAGATATATACAGGACACTTCATCCACAAAAAGCTGAATACACATTCTTCTCAAGCGTACATGGAACATTCTCCAAGATAGACCACATGCTGAGCCACAAAACATGCCTCCAAAAAATTAAGAAGATAGAGATTGTATCGACAATCTTCTCAGACCATAATGCCCTGAAATTAGAAGTAAATCACATACAAAATCAGAAAACTAAATCAAACACCTGGAAATTAGACAGTGCTCTACTGAACAACGAGTGGCTTAGACAGGAAATCAAAGAGGAAATCAAAAGATTTCTAGAAACGAATGAAAATGAGGACACGAGTTACCAAAACTTATGGGACACAGCAAAAGCTGTGTTAAGAGGAAAGTTTATAGCTCTACAAGCATTCCTCAGGAAGGAGGAGCGAGCACACATAAGTAACCTAACCTCACAGCTTAAGAGCTTGGAGAAGGACCAAAAAAAGGAGCACAACCCGAACAGGAGAAAGGAAATAATAAAACTCAGAGCAGAGATTAACGAGATGGAAACCCAAAAAACAATCCGAAAGATCAATGAAACCAAGAGCTGGTTCTTCGAGAAAATTAACAAGATTTATAAGCCTCTAGCAAAACTCACAAAGAAAGGGAGAGAGAAAACCCTAATAAACCGAATCAGAAATGAAAAGGGGGTCATTACAACAGAAACTACAGAAATTCAAAGGATCCTCAGGGAGTACTTTGAGAAACTGTATGCCACGGAACATCAAAACCTCGAGGAAATGGATAAATTCCTAGACTCCTACAGACTCCCAAGGCTGAACCAAGAAGACCTAGAATACCTGAACAGACCTATCACCATCAAGGAAATTGAAATGGTAATAAAAAGTCTCCCCAAGCACAAAAGTTCTGATCCGGATGGATTCACTAGTGAATTCTTCCAAATCTTTAAAGAGGACTTACTCCCAATCCTCTTTAAGCTTTTCCACGAAATTGAAATATCAAAAACACTTCCAAACAGTTTCTACGAAGCAAATATCACACTGATACCAAAAGCAGACAGAGATACCACAAAGAAAGAATTACAGACCGATATCCCTGATGAACACAGATGCAAAGATCCTCAACAAACTACTAGCAAATAGAATCCAACTACTCATCAAAAAGATCATACACCATGACCAAGTAGGATTCATCCCAGGGATGCAAGGATGGTTCAACATTCGGAAATCAATCAACATAATCCATCATATCAACAAAAGAAAAGATAAAAAGCATATGATTATATCAATAGATGCAGAGAAAGCATTTGACAAGATCCAGCACCCCTTTATGATGAAAACCCTAGCCAAAATGGGTATAGAGGAGACCTTCCTCAACATAATTAAAGCCATCTACCACAAGCCTACAGCAAGCATCATCCTCAATGGGGAAAAACTGAGAGCCTTCCCTCTAAGATCAGGGAGGAGACAAGGATGCCCACTCTCTCCACTGCTGTTCAATATAGTACTGGAAGTACTTGCAATAGCGATTAGGCAAGAAAAAGATATTAAGGGCATTCAGGTAGGAAAGGAAGAAATCAAGCTCTCACTATTCGCAGATGATATGATACTATACTTAGAGAACCCAATAACCTCCACCAAAAAACTCCTAGAAACAATAGACTCGTATAGTAAAGTTGCAGGCTATAAAATCAATACCCAAAAGTCCATGGCTTTCCTATATGCAAACAGTGAGAGAGAAGAAAGCAACATGAAAAAAACAATCCCGTTCACAATTGTGCCCCAGAAAATCAAGTACTTAGGAATCAGCTTAACTAAGGAAGTAAAGGACCTGTACATAGAAAACTACAAAACGCTACTTCAGGAAATAAA